GGGGAGGAGGGGAGAGGAGGGGGAGGGGAAGGGGAAGAGGTGGGAGCTGAGCCTGACCACGGCACCTGTGGAGTGGCAAGAAGGCAGTCATCTCTAGGAAGATTGCTTGGCTCCTCAGCTTTCTGAGAATCCTTTAATCATTGATCTGACTTTGAGCCAATCAGATACCAGGAGCTGCGCTGGCCAATACGCAAGGCTTTTATGTGAGCTGAAATGTATTGTCAGTGTAAAAATATAGACTGGACTTTGAAAATTACAGGAAAGGGCCTCCCCTGTGGTGCAAGGGGTTAAGTCAGCACACTATGAAGCTATCAGCAGCCACTGCTGCTTGAGTGGAACCCCACCAGGGAGCTGACCCACAGGGTGATCAGACCTCTCGCCTCACCTGCTGGCAGCTTCCCTCAGCAGTGTATTTCAGTCAGTTCACCTGTTCTGCTCCCCACTCTGCCTCTGGTGAATCCTCTCACCACCACCACCACCCCACCCCCATACACCCCAGCTCTTGTATGCATAAATAAAATACATCTTTAAAAAAGAAAATTACAGGAAATAAGTTTGACTACATGTTGAAATAACCATCTGGATAAATAAAATATATTCTCAAATTTAATTTCACCTATTTAGCTGTTTAAATGTTGCTCCATTTTAAATTAAGGTTGTGGTTCGCAGTATGTTTCTACTGGAAGGCCCCGCTGGCCTGCCGGGTGAAAAGTCAGAGCGGAGAGGCCCTGGCCAGCAGGGCGTTACACAGAAGATGACCACAGGGGGGCGCTACTGCGGCGCCGCGCTCAGCCGGGGACACCCGCGTAGAGCAAACAGGCTGCTCACTCGGTAACTGGCGCAAAGTTGACTCCACTCTAGCCCCAGAGTTTCGTAAAGCTTTCTTTTAAAGGTGGGCTTTAAACTACTTTTTCTAAAATTTAAATGTTGTCATTAACAACATAAATATTTCTCTAGGACAAGAGAAATATTCCAAATTCCTGAATTACCGCACCCAGACTAGACTTTTAAGGAGGCTGCAAGTATCACTATCACACATAGGGAACTGAAAGGGAATCTGAGTTCGAGTTGAGAGGAGCTGTGAGGCTGGACCTCAGCTCCGCAGTTGAGCTCTGAGTAAAATTGGTGGTGAGAAGGCTGGGGAAAATGAAGATCCGAAAGTGAAGATCGAAGACTCGAGCTCCTGGAGCTGGGTATAGACCTTAGGTAAGGAGAGGCAGCTCTCAGAAACGCTTTTCTGGGGGAGTAGTTATGTCTTAAAAAACTTGAAAAGCTCTAAAAACGTCCACATGCATTGAGTAATTCTCTTCCAGTTATTTACAAGAAAAGGTTCACTACACTGCATAGCCATTTAGCTACAAAGATTCACTAGCTTTTATACTAAACACACACACACACACACACACACACACACACACCTTTGACTTAGCTTCACGCTGATAAGGGGCTGGGTGAGTCATGTAAGGTACAGCTGTGACATGGTATGTTTCCAAAATACTAGAAAGGATGTGGTTGGACACTGGGGCGTGGAGAGGTATTTCTGCCAAATTCTATGGGAAAGGTCCGTGGCCGACTCATGTCAGGGTGAGGCCAGAGGCAGGGGCTGGGTAGGTGTGTGTGAAAGAATTCACCAGAGGAGTGGAGAGCAGAAAAGGCAGATTTATTGGCGTATACTGCTGAGGGGAGCGGCGGCAGAAGGGGAGAGGCGGGCTTGGGGCTCTGCTTTGTGACATGTCATCACGGTCCGCCTCTACCTGCTGGGACCTCAGCTTTCTGTGGCCCACCGCACAGGTGTCCTTCTGGGTTCTATTTGCCCAGTTTTTACCTTTCCAGAGCGCCCCCTCTTGGTCGTGCGGGTCCACACCAGGTTCCCTCGGTCCTAATCCATTTTGTGTTTCCCAGTACCTTTCAGCTGAACCAAGTGCAGAGACTAAGTATTAGCTTCATTGGAACCCCCGAAGGTCAGCTGCAGAATTATAAGTCCAACATAGATGTCGATTTTTCTCAGGAGAGGAAAACATTAAAAATACTCATTTGCAATGTCAATTGGCTGAAAAGATACTCTCCAGGAGATTCATCGTCTTTATTTTTACAACTGCTGCTCAGAATTTTTGGAGTTATTTTTAAGTTTTCCAACCCAGTTTTCTTTACAGGTGCCAACTTCTTCCCCCAGACTTTTCACTGCCTTTGTTAAAATCCCATCATTTTCCCAATACCTTGCTTGGGGTTTTCACTTTTCTCCACCTCCTCCCGTGTTCGCTATGTCCTCCTCTTTGCCCGACCAGCCCGTGGTCACCTTCGCCGCGGCCCGGGGATTTTTTCCTGTCCTTGTCCCACCTCCAGGATCTGACTGACCCGCCGATTGTCGCAAAATTTAAAATCTGACCCCCAGTCCGAGTGGGCTGAGATCAAACATCGCTGAGACAGGGATCGGCTAGGAAGCGAAGCTCCGAGGCCCTACTACCGGGGCCCCTAACGAGTGGGGACTAACCCGCGCCGCCACGTGCCGTGAGGGAGCCCCACGGGGTCACCTCCCGGGCGAGCAGCAGCTCCCAGCCCAGGTCCGGGAGGAAAGAACCTAATGGTGGCTCCTTGTAGCAACGCGGGGCTCGCGCCGCGAATTTTGTCCCGTTGGAGCCACCGTCCCCGGCCGCGCCCCGCTCGTATCATGTGACCGCGGAAACCTGGAGGCCTGTGGCTGGGAGGGCGAAATCTGCCGCGGGGTCGGGGCCGACACACGTCGGGCGGGATGGAGGCGACGCTGGAGCAGCACTTGGAGGACACGTGAGTAGCGTGGGCTCTCCGGCCAGCCCGGGGTCGCGGCGGGGGCACTCGGCCCGGGGAGGACGCGAGCTGCGAGCGCCGGCCCGCCGTCTCGGGGGCGCCGCTCGAGCCACAGGTTTCTGGGTGAGGCGGTGACTCCTGCCGATCCTGGGACCCCGAACTCCGGAGCGCGGCTGGTGACCCGAATCAAAATCCCACCGGAGTCTGCGCAGCCCCCACGCGGAGGCTGCACCACCCTAGCGCGAGGCCACCGCCGCTCCTGATCGTCCCTGGTACTGGGGCGTAGCTCGGGGGGTTCTAGATGGGTTAGTTGGGGGGGGGGGCGGAGTGGCCCGCTGTGCAGCCTGGCACCGCGTTATCTGACTACGTAAGATCCAAAATTAAGGTGGCCTGGCACCAGTGGCCGGCTGCTTTCCTCCCTACCCCCGGGAAGCAACTCCAACTCGCTTGGCAAGTCGTTTTAATTAGTACATGCTCTTGCGGGCACTTTCTACAGACAAAATTCTAGAATACTGAAGTGTGTGTAGGCTTCCAAAACGCAGAGGTAGCGGGACAGAATCTTTTCTCTTAAATTAGTTGTACTTTAACTTTAGGGGGTGAGTGTGAATAAGGGTTCGATACGCACTGGTTTAAAGTACTTAGAACATAGCCTGCTACCAGAAAGCCTGGGTTAATTCATTTTTCTCGTATTTGCTTCATTTCTCCTGTCCCTGGAATTAGAATGAAGAATCCTTCCATTGTTGGAGTCCTGTGCACAGACTCTCAAGGACTTAATTTGGGCTGTAAGTATCTCGTGTCAACCTTGGCGGATCTACGGCATTTGATGCTGTCCTGGACCTAGTGTGCTATTACCTGTAGTTTTCATTTGCTGTCAACATGCTTCTTTCTGGCTACTTCCGTGAGAGTAGAGAATATCCAGATAACATAGACTGAAAACTTTTCAATTGATTATGCAGGAAGAACTGTTCCTTGCCGTCCTAGGTTTGTAGAAACAGCTGTTTGTACTAAAATAGAGTTGAAGTCATTTTAATTGGGTCTAGGAAAGATTTCAGATGATAGCAGTACCACGTATTGAATTTATGCCATATGCTGGGCTGCTACGCTTTATTTAGAACTATCTCATTTTTACAGAGACCTTCTAAAATGGATGGTGCTGTTGTTTAGTGCAAGGTATTTAATAATGGAGAAGTAAAAACAGGGACTTGAGAGCTGGACATACCTGGATTCAACCTCTGTTCAACTTTTGTTAGTGTGGACTTGGACTAAAAAGAAACTTCCTGATTCTGTTTTTTTATTGTTACTGTTTAAAAATCTTTTAAGTCACAACCCTAATGTTATGTATTTGTAAAGCTCTGAATTTTGGATGGGAGGGTAACAGCAAGAGGCAGTTTGTCTAACTCAGTTATGTTCATCTCCAAATCAGTTAGTTGGAAGGGGCAGAATTTTCCTTTTGAGGCTCTTTCCAGATTCACAAATGAGGAGACCAAATTCAAGTGCAGAACTCTAATAAATGAATTTTCAGTAACATTTGAGGCTCAAAGCCCATATGTGTCTCAGGCAGTGTTCTTACGTAATAACACATCAGTCACTGTGCCCTTAGTTTCAGCTAGGCTTGTGGTTGCCTTTATGTGGTATGTCTATTGCAAACAGTGGTTACTTTTTATTTAGTTAACTAGCTAAGATTAAGCATGAACAAGAAATCAATTTGTGTTGCTGTTTGAAAACAGCCAGCCTTTTTTCTAGTGGAAATAATTGCTCACAGAATCTCAACATAGCTGCTGAGGTGATTTTAGAGCTGAATTCCTGAGTAGACTTACATGCTTTAATGCTAAAGCACAGTAAAAGGAAATTAGACTTCTCATGAATGGTTCCAACAAGCTTTTTGTCCATTGTTGACTTTTTTTGGCAATCTCACCTCTGAATTTGTTTCAGTAACATTCCTATTAAAATTTTATGACTTCCAGATTGATTTAAATTATAGCTTCCTACATGCTTGGAAAGGTGTGGGGGATGGTGACAGGAACTACTTGAGTTTAGTGCCAGGTTTCCCCACTGCTGGACCCAGCTGAGGATCAGGACAAGCATCGCCTCTCAGCACAGACCATGAGTTGAACCTTCTTTTGGTGAATCATTCAATGAGATATGGCTCTAGCTGCAGACTCATTTTTATAAGTCAGGAGACACAATGCCATCTTGTCTTCTAGGTCGTGGGACCCTGTCAGACGAGCATGCTGGGGTGATATCTGTTCTAGCTCAGCAAGCAGCTAAGCTAACTTCAGACCCCACTGACGTTCCTGTGGTGTGCCTAGAATCAGATAATGGGTAAGTAGGTATCTGCAGATTCTTCCCTTTGTTATTTGGTCCCAGAAAAATCTGAGACTCCTCATGGGGCCCTGCGTTCATCAGTTATTTCTTATTTAAAGTACTCTGTGGTTTAACCCTGTAGACCACAGCAGATAAATTGATCTCTAAACCTACTGTGCATTAGATCAATGACATTTTAAAGGAGAGTAAGAATTTTCAAGAAAAAAGAATAGCATAGAGGAAAACTAATCAAAGAACAGAAACTACATCTGTATGAATGGAAACATGGACGCTATCCCAAGTGTTCGGGGGTAACAGAAAGCAGAAACTGCACAGAATGATCCGTTTTATAAAAGAAAAAAAATGTAAATATAGTATATAAATGTATACATAGAAAAATGCACATCCAAGTTTTTAAAACTGGAAATTAGTGGTTGCTCTTCTCTGAGTGGTAGGATTACAGGATTTGATTCATACACTTTCTTGTATTTCCCAAATGATGTTCTATTCTTATACTGCTTTTAAACACAGTAATGCAAAACTAAACCAAATAGTGTCTGACTACATTTTACTGAGTGTCTTCCTCTCTGCCTTTCAGGAACATTATGATCCAGAAACACGATGGCATCACAGTGGCAGTGCACAAAATGGCCTCTTGACAACCCAAGTCGTGCGCGCAGCAGCCTGCCACGGCCCTAGAGCCCACCCGTCTATCACCTTACACGAGTCTTCAAGTTAGGCCATTTATTTAATGTGCATTGGGCACTTCTAATTTTAGAGTAAACTGCCTTTTGACACTCTGTAAACTATATAAAATGTTAGTGTGAAGTATCAGTATGAAAGGATGTTCCAAAACAGGAGGTCTGGGTTACTTTGTATATAGAATTGTTATGTTTAATAAATTTCACCTGAGGAAAGCTTAGATCATTTTCTTGGATTCTTTAAACATTTATTTTTTCAATTAGTGATTTATCTTTAAAAAGACCTTTGCTCCAGACTACTTTGTCAGAAGCTCCCTGAAATATATTCTCACAGAAGTGTTAACAGGTATTTAAACTAGTGCATACATCATTAAGTACTTCCCATATGCCACAAACTCTACTCTCACTGAGCCCCTATATGGTAGGTACACTTCCATTTGTCCTACCTTGTGTTAGTTATCTAGATTGAGGGATTAGTAGTCTCCACTTGGACCTAATATTTAAACACAGAGCCCATATGCTTTTCCCAGACCAGTACAGTTAATTATGTACAGCCAGAAAAATATCTACCATTACTTGACAAAAAAAAAATCTTGAGAATATTGTTTATTCAAATATATTAAGCATCTACAAATATGTGAGGTTACAAAGATTTTTGAGCCAGATACAGCTTGAGCCCTGAAGCTTGATAGGATGGATATGCATATATAGCAATCGCCATACTCACCAATTACTGCAGGTAGATCTTTTCTTCCGTCTTCCTTACTAGCACAGCAGCTTTGTGAACAGGAGTTTTGTCTTAGTAATATGTATCTCAAACACTTTGGACAGTCCTAGGACATACAGCAGGCATTGAATAAACATGTGCTGAATAAATAATACAGGGAGTTTTGTGGCCATGAACCAGGCTTCAGAGGGAGGATGCTTGCACAAGGTGAGGGGTTTCCAGACAGCAGTCAGGACCCAAAGGATGTTTATGTAACACTAAATGCTTTAATTGGATCTGTTACGCAAGCAAGTAACTGGAAGACAGGGCAACTTGAGTATCTGCTTTCTAAGAATCCTGGTTCTTACCTGTTGGCAGAATGAGCTTTGTATCAAGTGAATCAAAGCTGAGCTTCCAGATTAATCCTAGGTAATCTGAGTTTTCCTTCTTTGTGAGAGGAAAAGACTTCCTCTTGGTCTTTTATATATACCCAATTCCTACTCAAATTTGTAAAAGCCAACCTTAAGTTTAAGTTTTTACATACTAAACAATGTGTATGTGTTTAGCTCCTTTAATCTCTTAGTCTTAGGAGACATTCCTAGTTTAATTGGAAGAAGTAAGTTTCAACAAGATAAGCTCAGAATCAAATAGAAGAGACAAAATGGCAGAAAGAATGAGACATTAAGATAACTGAGTCAAAGAACTGGAGCCTCAGAAGCCATGGACTCAGAATTACAGAAAATAGATAGCTGAGTCTGACTTTTGAAAAAGAGGAAGAAACAAGCAACCTCCACTCTGTGGTGGCATGACTGGCCAACACACGGTGAAGGTGGAGCTTTCCCGGAACCCGGGCTGCCGCCTGGGTAGTGCCACCAGTTTGCAACTGGGCACTAACCAGGTTATAAACTCACTTTTCTTGCCTTCTATGTAAATAAATCACTGCTTCTGTTTATCATATTCTTAACCCTCTGTATCACAGCACCCCCACAGGTTCGCAGACTAACAGTGTGAGCCTAGACACTGACAGCTGCCCAGCCAAGGACACTTCCTTGAGTTCACCACCATAATGATGAGAGGCATTGGTCTCTATTTTAGAGAAATTGGGTATTTTACTTCAGTAGAATTCTCTGCAAATTTTGATTTAGACATGAATTAAACCTTCGGGCAGTTAAGTTTTGGTGCATTTAGTAAGTCTGATGTATGGAAGCTGATTCTGATCTCATGGGAGTTCATTTCCAACACTTAGGTTAAAGTTTTGCTTCAGGGGACTTCTTGGGGGGTGGCGTGTGTGTGTGTGTGTGTGTGTGTGTGTGTGTGCACTCATGCACATTTTTGGTTTGCAAGGAGGTAAGCCTACTCTGGGCAAGTCTGCTTGGGTGAATTGTGGCTGGCTGGCATAAATTTGAGTTCTAAGCTAATGCCTTAGGAAGCATATGTTTTTGTTTTTTGAATGTAACACTGACTGGCCTATGTATACAATAGTCAGAGGAGAAAGAGCCTACTGAGGGATCTTTGAACTAATATCATTTTGCAGCTAGAGGAACTTTGTAAAAACTCAGGTAAATAGGACAAGCTCTCATATACACAAGCCTTTGTGTCCCTCCATAAATTAGATTTAGGAAAGCCAGAGGCACATTTGATGGCACAAAGGGTGGTCCCCAAAAAAGGGGAGGGTCCAGGTTGCTTGCCCCACCCAAGGAAGGGTGATGCTAAGCAGAAGAGAAGCTGGAGAGTAGAATGAAGGAAGGAGGGCGCAGAGGAAAGACACCTGGATGAGGAACATGGAGCAGAAGAGACATGAAGAAACTGCACTTGTTTCTTGGCCCTGGACTGGCTGAAAGAGATATGGGTGAGCCCCACTGGGAGGTTAACAATGGCAGCTTTTATCTTGACTTTGAGTTTGCTTCCCTGCCCACCTCTCCTCACTGACTTGTCTGGCTGTTTCTGATCCTTTCTGTGGTTCCCTACCAGGAGGTGCCTTAGACTTGTAGCAGGCTTTTAGGCCTTCCCCATTTGACTGGACACTTACCCAAGGTGGGATGGGTAACGTCAGGTGGTGCAGGAATTAGTCTCAACTCTACCAAGCTATCTCCAGCCTGTGTGGTGTGAGTTTTACAATCTTATGTACTAGAGTTATGTTTTATCTTGATATGGCAGATGGCAGAACCTATTTAGAGTGGGCAGGTTTGGTGAGTTTTGGGATGCTTCTCCCCCTTCCCTATAATAGGACGTCAATGATAGGAGAATGGAAAGACTAGACCATTATAAGTACTTATTATTAGGACTAAGGAAAGGAATGCTTAAGCAAGATCGTTTTGATATCAGAGCTTCAACAAAGACCAATGAGGACTTGTCTGATTTCTTGAAAGGATTATTCAAACAATGTTATTACACAGACATGAATCTAGATGCTCCAGAACATGTTCAATGATTAACAAAATATTCACTGGATAGAGTACCCCATGGAAGGCGGAAATTAACCAAGATAGAAAGTGGCAGAGATGAGTCTTTCCTAATTGATCGATTAAATATAGCCTTTAGAGTTTACCATGCCGAAGAAAAAAGACTTGAGAGAAAAAAAAAATTGTCTAGCATGTTGCCCAATGCAGTCCGTCCTAACAGACAGTGCCACCTGAGTGGAGACCAGTCTGCAAGTGGAAGCCAATCAAAAAGAGGGCTGTGTTCATATTTTTCAGGCCAACATAGTGGTGGCTCAGCTCCACCCCAGTTCATGGAGTCAGGGGGTGGAGTCCAGAAAACTCTGGACCTACTATCTAACTGGCTTTAAGTGCTACCCACTGACTTGGAGGTTGCTCCCCTAAAATTTTAAGTATGGCGAAACTGAGTCTCTGCTGGACATCCTGGTGGTAACCTCAATAGGATGTATTAGATGCTTACTGAACACCAGGCTCCCTTCCAGGGTGTTTAGACACCCACTAGAACCAACTCTGAAATTCTCACTGTGGTCTCCCAGGCCCTGCATGATCCAGCTTACTAACCCCTTGTGCCACCCCTTGAATTAACACAGCACCTGGCACACGGTACCTTATGGAATGAGGTGAAGAAATGCTGTTTATTATTTATTCTTAACAATATTGGAGGTAAGATGTAATACACCCAGCTTTATTGGTGAGACATAGACTCGTCCTGGAGTTCAGGACCAGGAAGGCTGAGTTTCCAGTGTCTACAGAGCTGAAACTGAAGCAGTGCTGTATGGAGGTCCCAAGATTACCCCCATGATGTGTAAACTTGACTGGCTCACAGGGCTTTAGTTAAACATATCTCTGAGTGTGTCTGACATGTTGATTCTGGATAAAATTAACATTTGCATCAGTAGACTAAGATTACCCTTCCCAGAGTGGATGAGCCTTATCCAGTGCCTCGAAAGTCTAAATAAAATGAAAGTCTGAGGGAAGAATTATCTTTCAGATGGAAAATTTCTGCCTTGGACTGGAATATACCATCAGCTTTTTGACTGTCAGCCCCCATACTCACATGAGCCAATACTTTATAGTGATGTTTTATATATATATATATGTATATGAAATACATGTTTATCATATATGCATATTCCTGTATCTCCAGGCTACAGGTTCTGTTTCTTTGGAGACCCAGACTAACACAATACCCCAGGTTTGCTGACTCGCTAGAATAACTCATAGCACCCAGCACTCAGTTTTACTCACAGCAAAATTGGCAAAGGGGTAAGGTGCCCAGGGCAAAGCACAGAAGAGACCAAGTATGAGCTTCCAAAAATCTTCCAGTGGAGTCACGCAGGATGTACTTTATTTAATTCCTCTAGCAGGGAGCTGTGCCAACATGTGTGAAATGCTGCTAACCCGGGAAGCTCTTGACAGAAAGGTACCCAAGGTTTTTTTTTATTGGGGGCTGAACATACAGCCTCCTTCTCTGAAGGGAAGTGTTTGGCATAAGCCATGATGTTTGCAGAAATAATTTAGGCACACTGATCTTCTCTTATAATTTCGGCAATGGTGAGAGCCCTCCAGAAACCTAAATTGTCAGATGCAAACCAAAGGCCAACTTTCAAAGAATAGAAGTCTCAGGTCAGCTATGTTAACTCTTTTCTGCACAAAGACTGAAGGAGGACAGGGAATGATTCTGCGAAAAGCAAAATCTTTCCATTCTAGATGGTAGAACTACATTATACTCCAAGTCCCTGAGTGCTAAAAAATATTTACGGGCTGTCTGACAGAGGGGAGGTGGCAGTGGGGATTTAAGAAATCAAACTGCATTCTTACTGAATAGCTGCTGTAGGCGTGAGAGCCAGGTTAGAGGTTGAGGGCACTACTACTACCATAGAAACTTTAAAAAATATGGAAAAAGTGAGCCCTGCCACGTCTGTATTTTCTACCATGCTTCAAAGTTTCCTGTATGAAGGCTCTGTCTCAGGGGTGTGGTGTCTGGGGACTGTGCAGGTCGCCCAGCCTGTATGAATAACTCACTGTCATACTTCAGATCTGACCGGAGTCCCAGCACCAGAGCTCGCTTTCAGCA